CTACTACTACCACTATTACTATTACTACTACTGCTACTACTACTACTACTACTACTACTACTACCAATAATAACAATAATACTACCACCCCTATCAAGCGCCTGGATTCTTGGATGTGCGCGATGCAACGCCACTACCATTAGCACTACCACTGTTGTTACCAACTACTACTCGCCACTGCCACTACCACCACCTATGGCGGACCAAGGAAGCGAGCGTTGTGACGATGCTCGGCTTGAAACCACTTGAACCTTTTGTCAGCAGGGGTTTTGGCACTTCAATCCAGTCGCAGTGCCATGGTGTCGTAAAATAGAAACAACACTGTAGTAACTGTAGACGCAAGAGCATAAGCATAATTTATCAATGCCGGCAAGAGCACAAATGGATCCAGGTTAACCGAATTTAAGCCCCGAAGCTGTGGCCCAACCGTGTGAGCCAAGACGTCGAAAATTAAAAAGGGAGAATCGTCAGAAGCGAGGTGTTAAACTGTAACTTTGACTGACTAGTACCCTGCTACTTCTACTTTCGTTTCTACCAGGGATCGTGACTCTGCACAATTACCACTGCCAGTACCACTGCCATGATCAGCTTCACTCACTAAGTTGCCACTGGCTCCCACTACATACTTTGGTCTTTGGAGCAGGCCATGAATGCGCAGGGAAAAGGCAAGGTTCGATCTCACAGGCAACTCCTAGCAAGAAGCGTGCCGAGACAGGTGGGGCCGTGCGAAACCAAGCTTGCCTTCGATGCGTATGTCAAAAAGCTCGAGCGAGCTGGCGCTTATGCATGGCAGCTGGAAGTTGCTTGTGCAGCAGATCTGCTCAGCGTCACAATCCTTGTGGCCACCAGCTGTGGGGAGATCATGGAGTTCAAAAGAGGACGCGACGACAAAATCTGTACTACACTTTCAACCCAGGCCGTTTGGAATGAACCCCCGAGATCCAGTCCTGAGAAGCCGCGCTTTCGCAAGCTTCAGATAGAACTGGTGGGCCGAGAAGTGGACCCTCACCGAAGGCAGCAAGGGAGGTCTGGCTTTCACAGACTTCGCGTCCCGCAGCGGATGTGGATCGGTACGACTGGCTGCTTCCAGGCAGATCTCTCAGGAGTGTCGCCGGATGCCCCATGCCTTTCCACGGCCGTCAACAGCGAAATGATCTCACCAGGACATTCATCCTCTCACCGCCAGATGCGCTTCTTCTCGGCTCCTCCTCGCAGACGAAAGTTGGAGCTAAAGCCCACTTCCCCCTTCCAGTAATGTACACTAGCCGGATGCCAGCATACATTCCCGGCTCGCCCTTTAAATAAGAACAATTGCCAGGGATGCTAACCCACTTCCCAATTTTCACGAGCCAGATGCTCGTGCTCCTTCCCGGTTACCCCTGAGAAGGTAGAGAGGAAGACGAGGTCGTAGGCTTGGAAGAGTTGGAAGGGGTCCAAGTCGAAGTGGCTTTGCGAAAGGCTTGGAACTGCTTTGGCGAGAGAAACTGCACCTGAGGAAGCCTCGCTGCCAGCCCTGAAAGGCAAAAACCTCACATTGCCAAAGTGATCTGTGTGCCAAGACGTGTTGATAGGTCTGGGTGCGGATTAGCAAACTTGAAGCGGCGATGGAGACTGCAACTAAGTGCGGCTGCCGGGACCGCCAGGATGCCAGACAAGACGTGACCCGCAGCAGACTCTTCAAGGAGATGTGGAGCAAAATCGGCAACGAAAATAAAGATGTCGTTAAAAAGCTTTGCAATGCACTAAAGCCGGGATTCCGCTCACCGAAACTCCTGCGAAGAAGTTGGTTGCCACGTGTTGCATGTGCACGTGACGGTCACCATCGCCAAATGTAGCAACTTCTGCGCAATCGCGAACCCGGCATGCAGTGGCCATTCGTCAGAAAAGCGTTGCCGCTGCTCTGGCTTCGATTGCGTCGGAGCTGAGCAAAGGGGCAGCGGCCATTGACCTCGCCAAATGTTTCGACTATTCAGACCCCGAGTCGCAGCTGAAGTTCTTACACTGCACAGGTGCCCGAGCCCGGAACCTCTCATGAGCTTGTTTGAGCGTGTGTGGCTTCATGCGCGACGCATCTTACTACTGCTGCTACTGCTACTACTCCTGCTGCTGCTGCTGCTATTACTGCTACTACTAGGAGTAGTAATAGTAGTAGTAGTAGTAGTAGTAGTAGTAGTAGTAGTAGTAGTAAGTCGTCGTCGTCGTCGTCGTCGTCGTCGTCGTCGTCGTCGTCGTGGTGCTACCTATTGCCAACAACAGGAAGTTATCTAGCGTGTCAAAATCACAGGATACCACCAAAAGTAACCATAGCCGGACACGCCAACACACAGGAAAACTGACTGCGGCAGCGGACTACCAGAACAGCATCAACACTTGCGAGGTACAACAACCTGCTTGCCTGCTGCAAGAGCGGCCGGCAGGAGGAGCAGGAAACGTGTTGGGTCCCTGGGATTTCCTTCCGGGACGTCTCGACGAGATGGGTATCTCGTAGAAGTTCGTGCAAAAGTTACCACGGTTCCGGAATTCAAAGGTTACATATAAGCAAGTTTCACAGCATTCAGGGTCCGTTTCTTTGACAAGTTACGCTCCGGGAAGCTTACCTGCGTGGCTCCCAATTTTCAGGGATTGGGTTTCCATGTGATGTGTGTAGGTGCACAAAACGGCGATTGTTGCTCTTAACTAACAATTTGTCAGCGTGTGTGGAGGTGTTAGGGACCTTGCACAGCCCTGCAAAACCAGCCCATGCTGCATACACTACAGCTTAAACACAAACATTCGCTTTCGATTTCTTAGCAGCCGAAGCATCGCCAGGCATATTTTCAATATTGATTCGCAGCTTTACCTTGGTAACACCCGTCCCGTCCAGGCTTGGCAGATTTTCGTGCAGATGCGCGCTGAGAGCGTGGAACCGAATGCAGCTTGAACCGAATCATGCAGGCGGCTCTCCGCTGATCTCGAAATCTTGTCCTGCTGAGTCATGGTGGGGAACTGGCCCGAGAAGGTGACATGGACATCAGATGTTCCGAAAGCCCACTACTGGCGGCTCCCCTTCCTGCTACTCCTCTCTCGCCTCCTCCTCCTATTCCACTTGCTTCTGCTTCTACTCCTTTTCCCGGCACTACTGACTTTTGCTTCTACGGCTTCAACTAATTTTGTAGTAGGGCTGCTGGCCATCATGATTGGTACTGCCTTTAGCACTTCACTGGGCTTGTCGCATGGTCACGTATTTAGGACCTCGGTGTGTAACAATAATCCGTGAAGGACTGGTCTTTGTTGTGGCTTATGCTAACTTATGTTGCAGAAAGCTCAGTTCTGGCGCTCGCGTCAGTTTTTTGCGTCCAAAAAGCTGTCGTCAGAACTGTAGCCACAGTAGTTGTATCGACTGTTGTGTCGCGCTCATGTACGATCACGTGGTGTGACTTGAGGGTTCCTGTTCCCCATGCATGAAACCTCAAACCCTATACGTCCTATACCAAAGCCGATACTACGTTTTGTGTACAGCTCGTCCCAGAGAGGTGCTCTTGATACTTCGTTGTCTCCAGCCCTAAAGCTCTGATACCAAAAAACCCTAAACCCTAAACCCTAAACCCTAATCCCCAGAGCCCGGAAGCCCTGAGACGCCAAACCCTAAACCTTGCGGTACGACTTCGAGGAACCCTCCTAGTACCCTCGTAGTAACCCTTCAAAGAGCCCTTCAAGGAACCCTAAACCCTAAACCCTAAACCCTAAACCCTAAAGCCCTAAGCCCCAAAAAGAACCGCCGAGGCCCTGACGTGGGCGGCGCTCCTCGGCCGTGCCGGCCAAGTGCACGGAGAGGCGCTGCTCTCCGCTTTGGAGGAGGAGAGCAACGTCGTGGTCTGCAGCGCCTGGGCTGGGGCTCTGGGTATGGGGTTTAGGGGTTTGGGGG